TCTTTAGGAGGTAAGATTGGTAGTCAAAGACAGATCTGTGTTCATCTCCAAAGGCATTTGTTTGGTCTGCATCACCCCTAAATTCAAAACAGGTATCAGCTTCTTAGTCTCAGAGGACCAGTAGCTTTTTCACTGCCATAGAAAGTGCTGAAAGTCTGAGCTACAATTCAGATCAACTTCAGCTACACTCTGTTGGGATAGCAGAATCTGCACCATCCCAGAGAAAAATAAAGACATAAAAAACAACTGAGACAGGTATTGATCACCCATCCACACATCTCTGCACTGACTTACAGCCAGCTCAAATCAAAAAGGCCAAAGTTACCCTGAGGGTCTCCAAGTGCTGACAGAGACAGAAGCTTTAGAGAGGAATGGGAATGATGATAACCACGTGCTGAACTAGACGGGTATAATCTCTGGGAGAAAAGCCACACACTGAAGGGTTTATACAACACAACAAGATTAATAGGGGGATGGAAACATATTTATGATACCTACATCTACAGCTGGGGGGGAAAAAAAGTCCTTTATGATCTTGTGAGTACACCCAAAATCTTACCCATTCCATTTCTAAGTCTGTCAGTTCCAATCTCTTAAAGAAATAGTGCCTCTCCCTGTAAACATTGTCTCACATCCTTAGGCCACCAGAGCCATAAAAGCAGTAGTGCCAGCAATCTTCATGTCACACATGCTGAAGAGTTTAATCAGTATTATTGTCCCTCTCCTGATACCTAGGGTGTGAAAATACAGTCCTTACAGGGGTCTTCACCAGTGTGTTGGGAATGTCATCCATCCCTGCTAGCAGCTAGGCTTGTCCAACATGGGATTCCAGCCATCCAGCAGAACCACTGAGCCATTGCACCTGAGTGAGCTTGCACACAGCCTTTGGGTAACTGGGAACAACTACTTTTAACTTAGCAATAATTAGCTTCCTATGGCAGCCATAGGTCTTCCCACATGAATGTTGCTTTCTGTGGAATCCACTGTCCCAGAGCAAAGCTGATTCCCAGTGAATGTGTTGCCTTATTCACACCCTTTGGAATTCTCAGACAACAACAAATAAGTGCCACTGCACTGGGACTTTTTTGGTCACTTTATAAGTGATGATATTTGCTCATGCTTTCTTCCATTTTCAGTGGAAAATTTTCATTTGTTGGCAAGGAAAGATACACAGATAATTCCTGCTCTTCTCTTTAGTCTTTAAAGAACTAAGTAGCACTGATGTTGTTTGTTTACTTACAGGAAAATAAAAAGGTTTTCTCCAAACAATGCTTTCTCTCTCAAAATAAAATTTCCTGAAAATAATCTTCATTTTCATTAAAGCCTATGGCATTTTTTACTCTTATCAGCAACCTGAGCAACTCCATTAGAAACCCTGATACAAGACTTGCTTCCACAGAATTCCCTCTGTGGTTTATTTTTTAACATTTAAATTCTCCAAAGTATCAATATTCTAGATTCATACATAAACCAAGACTATCCCTGATCCCTGTGTTTCATAATGTAGGCTCTGCACATGAGAATCCTGTAGCAGTTCTGGTCATTGTCAGGAAATCAGATCTTTTAGGCAGTTGCAGGTTATGTCTGCACATAAGTTTAGAAAGTGATACTTTCTTAGTAGCAAGTACTCAAAGGTACCAACAAGGAAAGATGTAGTACAGCCATAGAGAATGGCACATTACAGATACGCAGAAAGCATGGGCTTCACTGGTGCACAGACATGTAATTGAACATCACTGATGCTGACCTTAAATGGCAGAGTTGGTCATCAAATTAGCTCCTTTTTGATATAGTAAATAAGTCCAGATATATTCCAAGGTTTTCTCACTAATAAATTACCTGTTTTGCAAGTTGTATGAATTTTAAGTATTAAAAGGAGGGCAGGATTTACTCTTAGTGTAGCAATTTATGCAGCATTATCCAATCCAATCTTAGTGATGTGCTAGGCACTCCTAAATAACTATTGATCAATCAAATAGAAAGTCAATCAATAAATTCTGAGAGAACACCTACTGGTTTATTCATAAGAATTCTTCCTACTCTCTCTTAGTAGCTATTTCTTTCTTCCTTCCACATTACCTTTTACGTCTTTCCTCATGGGCTATGTTATTTAACTCTTTTGCCTGGTAACCAGTCACAGTCTTTTCAAACTCTCTTCATGGACAAGATATTTTCAAGTAGAGAATCATTCTCATTTTCTTTCTTTGTACTGTAATTCTGCAGAATCCTTTCAGAAGTGCTGCACAACAGGAATCATTGATTTATAAAGGCATTTCAACATTTTCTTTTTTCTTCTATTCTATTTTATTCATTATGCACCATTTGCTTTGAGTGCAGTTACACAGGTTAATGCTTCCCAGAAATCTTACACTACAGGCCTGTTCATCAACTTGATTAGAATGGATATTCATGAGTAAATAACTGTATGCAGATAATCTAAAACATTGATATCAATAGCTGGGATTTATCTTCCCTAATTTTAGCTGTCAAATATTTAGGGGTCTTTCCTAAGCTATGCTTAGGTTCCTTCTAATATTAATGAGAAAGACATATTCCAAGAGAGATCTATCTCATCTTGAAATAGGTGAAATGGGAGAAGGTAAATTGCCCCGAAGGTTTTGATCCCTTTAGAGGAAAACTGACTATGGATTTAGACTAAAAATCTGCTGGTTTAATGACAAAATTTAAAAGAAACAAATTCCTCTCTCCACTCCAAGACATTAGTTCTGATTTGTTCCAGCACAGAAAGATCAGAACTCATGCACCAATCCTTTCTGCAGCTATTCAACCTCACTAGGTTCTTAACATTTAATTTGATATTTATTTATTCATCTCTGCCTAGTATTTGAAATTCTAAAGACCTGGCTCCCATACTTCTGTCCAAGATTATCCAGACTGAATGATATGCATGAGACGTTGCACACAGAGTCAATCTGACACATCCCAACTACATCACACAGCTTGTAAGCCTGATACATCCAGGACATATCAGCAATCCTACATATGTACCGAGCAAACACTCTGCATAGTCCATCGACTCTATGCTGGACACAGTGGATTTAACACCCCTTCAGCTCAGAGACGTGTGTGCTATGAATCCGAAGTGTCTGCGTGTTACTTGAGCACCACATGGACTCAGTCCATGCCCAGTTTCTGCAGCCACTTTTGCCAGGCTGCTGGACAGTCAGAAACCCTGCAAGTGTGATACCGAAAAGAGTGAAAGGGTTTGACAACCTGTGAATGGAGAGTCTCCTGCCCAAAGCAGTGAAATGCTCTGTTTGTATATGTAACAGTTTTTAAAGGTGCGGGGATGTAATTTTCAATTCAAACACCCATTAAGCTACAATAAAACATTACTAAAAATAGTCAAGGCACTAGAATACCACATATATACATATATATGTATACACACACATGCATTTTTTTTTAACTTGAGGTAGTTAGCAGCTATTAGCTTGAGCTACTCACTGCTAATTTGAGGCAGAAGAACACACACATACCAGGCCCATATCTGCACTTTGAGATCAAGATTCTAAAGAGAGCAGCCTTGTTTTAACACAGGTGAGAGTTGTGGAATGAGCAACATCTGTAAGGCATCATTGTAGCCTTAAAGAACTGGGTGTTCCACAACACCCTCAGCCACAGACATAAACCGCCAAATTAAGAGTGTGTCTCTAAAATACTTCTTGGAGAGTAGAGCATTTATTCATTGGAAAGCCACTGCCTCTAGTCAAATCATGACTTACTAAGGTTGCGAAACCTGCATTCACAGTGTTTTCTAGCAGCAGGTTTTCCCCATGATACTAAAGGAAGCAGTAGCAGGCTGGGTTTCATGGGGGATTGAGGGGATCTGTGGCTCCCATTGCAGTAGGTCACCTCCAGAGCAGCAGACTCCCCTATTCACAGAAGAAGCCTGCCAATGTTACTCAAGTGCATGCTGTTTTCATACTGCAGTCCTCCCGGGGCATAGAGATCCAGTCCTCCACCTAATCTCAGCACAGAATTATCAGCCTTCCCATTTAAACTCGCATTTATAAGAAAATCTCACAATAAACAGAGCAAAACTTTCTCATAATTTGGATACAGTTAGGAAAAATGTTCCCCCAAGGAAATAAAATAGGAGCTTAATGGAACCCAGTCTTGCCCCAAAAGAGAAGTGTACGTCTTTTTAGTACCACCTGAATCAAGGCTCCACCTCATCTCATTTCGTTCCCACTGCTTCAGCATTGCTGACAAGCAGGTAGCATCATCCTGCCTGTAATCTCTGTGTCTCCTGAGCTTCCTACAATCTGGAATCACTGCAGCCTGGGTCCCAGTTTTCACCCAAATGGTACATCTTCAGGAAGTATTCTTACATCCTCAGACTTCCACAGATACGAAATGGGGAGAGATGGCATAGTTCCATCCACCCTGTGTATTCTCAAAAAATCTCAAAACCAACTAGTTTCTCATTCAATTTATGTCACATTCTCCTCATCTCCAAAATCATCACCAACTAGCTGACAAAATTACAGCCATCTTTCACTTTGAAGTTGCCCTGTAACACCTTTTTTTTTTAATCTTTCTGCTATTTTTCCTCCTACTGCAAATTTTTGTTCACTCCATTAGCATTAGTTGACTGTCAAATCAGCATAAACCTTTCCTGTTGTTAAAATAATCACTCACACCTTTCCTTTGTTCTTCTCTGTCCTCTTCAATTCATCAATAGCTTCCTTGTATTTTACATGTAGCCATAAAAATAGCACGTTAGAGCTTCTGTGAAAACCATGGACCCTTGATGAGCGAACTTTAAAATATTCACCATAAGACAAGTGATGAGCAGAGAGATCAAATGTTTTGCTCCAGACTGCACAGCCAATCTATAGAAGGCAGATATAGACTCCCAGCTCTTATGACTTGTGGTCCCACGTGCTGGTCCTAAGAATATGTTTCCTCTCTTGCACAGAAAAAATACCTTGTGCAGGCAGCATTCATGTCATGTTTGCGTCAAGCCAACATACCTGGATGAAGATATATTCATCCTGAACAACAAGGGAGCTGACATCAATGGAGCGCGAAAATGGCCCACTCCTTTTGGTCTCTGAGCACTCTTGGATCCGACAGGTCAAATAGTGGGTGTCTGTAATGGGAGAATATGTACACATGAGAAAGGCCCAGGTAGGAGCCAGTTGTCTGACAACATCAGCAGCAGCTCAAAAAAAAGGTCTCTGAAGGGAAGCCTAAACCTCATCTCCAACTATATAGATGTTATTCCATGATCTGCCCCCAGCCTTTAGCACAGTAACTGCTCTCTCTTAAGTCAAGAATTCACCACACTTGAACATTCGCCATTCATCCCCATTCTGCAGACTTCAATCTCAGGAGATTGAAGCTCAAACCATAAATGGATGTTACCAACCTTCAGTGCATCAGAAAGCTGATGGTGAGTCTACATGGAGCAGAAGAAGATTTCAGAAACCATTCAGGTAGAATTTACCAGTTTCAATACCCTGCTGGGACTTATATCCCTGTCCTCCCTCTGAAATACCCTGGCCTTGGTGACTGGTTTTAGTTGTGGTAGTAACAAACACACACACACACAGACAGACACATACACACGCACAAAAAGAAACCCAAACCAACACTATTAAGTTTAACTGATTTTGCTGTGAAAATAACAAGCATCTCCCAAAATTAAACCTTTATAGCCAACACAGACTAGGTATGAGAATGCCATGGACATGAAATAGCATGACCGGTTAAGAGTCCTAGCAGTAGTTATATGCACTGCAAGAACCATCAAATGCTTCTGAACAGAAACAAGATGAGAATACCATCATACCAATGGGATTTTGTCAGGCCTTGGCATTGCTTGAGAGAAGGAACTGGACTGGGAGAAGAGCATGAAGATAACAGAAGGCAAAGGCAGACATATAGAAAGTTGCTCAGTGCAAGAAGAGACGTGCTGTTCTCCAGCAAGTTGACAGGGGTTACAGGGAATTAAGCATTATTTCACTCAGGCTAAGAAAGGACCTCATGAAAAGAACAATGAAAGCATTGTGTCTCTGGATGTATGTAGTCTAAATATGCCCTCTCTGCTTTTCAACTGCTCTTCTGAAAACTGCAAATTAGGGAGAAAAAGAAAATACTACTAAGATGACAGCTGCAGTGATAAAAGGGTCATATCTTTTACACTGCAGCACTTCTACAGGCTTCCTAGATTCAAGTGCTTGTTTTCTTTTCTATAAAAGGGTGAGGACAGACCATCAACGAAAAAAACAGCACGTTTATAAAGGCTGGGGTGAGCCTGGTGCTGTGATTTTGGTTTACAACAGAACCCTTTAACATGAATCTTGTCAGACAGATCCCAAAATGATAAAACAGAAGTTTAAAAGGACTGTACTTGCCTAGCAAAGCTGTTTACAGGATTCTATGTACCAAAAAACCTGCTACTGTCCTTAGTTTGTGTCCTTCCAGTGACAGCAAAATGGGGTTCAGCGGAAAGTTCTGGGAGGCACGACCCAAATCATAAAACTCACCTAACTGCCTTCCCAGATTCTAAGACTAGATTCACAGACTGATAGTTTACCCTTTCATTGTCTTGTCCCATCAACACTCTTAAGAATGCAAAAAGAATGCAAGTCAGAGGTATTAATAATAAAAATAATAATAAAACAAAAATAAATTGTCTAAAAAGGTCACCAACTACAACCAAGCTTTAACCTAACAAAGGTTCACACCCAACCTCCTAATGGCTGAAGTCCCATGTTTGAAGGCTGCAGATCTGGTTCTGGGTTGAGGCATTGGAGATTCCAGGTTAATAAGAGCTACATGGCTGATTCAGAGCAGTTGCATAGGTCTGATGCAGTAATGAAATCGTAGTCCCACTGAGAATGCTAAAGCAGCAGAAAATGTTGCTGGTGCCAGCTCAGAGTATCTGGAGATAATTAAAGTGTATGGTGAAAAATATCTGACCCAGAGACAGTGCCAAATAACCGGAGCATCAGAGTTGTATTTTCTCCCAGCATAAAATACCAGCAGCAGTGGAGAGGTCAGACTTTCAGCTGGCATAAATTAAGGTTCTTCATCAACTGACATATATATACACCCTTGGTCCAGAGCTGCTATTTAGTTCCTCAACATGGAATCTAAGGAAATTTTGCAGTGGATAAAAGCAACTTCTCAGAAAACAAGAGGGTCTTATATGCTGCCACGCTACCCAAAGAGATCTACAGACATGGCTTGTTCTTTGAGGTAGCTCTAAAATTAGGTAGAACAAGGAGGAGAGGTCATGAGGCATATTTTTAGAAGCTCATTGCCTCCAGTATATTCTCCCACACAGTAGCCTGGATATTCTTATCCTTCCAAAAAGGGGATAATTTGCTGCTGCTGAGTGACAGAATGGGAAGAGGAATAAAAACCCATCACAAATAAATGCAGATAAATCACAAGTGTTGACATGACAACAAGCTTCCTGCCTATTGGGAAATGTGTCATTTTGAGTGTGTTACACCAGCAATCAAATATACTTGAAGAATGACACCTGATTAATATTCACAAGAAGATGGTGTTAGAGAAGGGGGGTAGTTCACTACCCATTTTCCATTTTGTCTCTTGCTTTATTTATTTATTTTTGTGTATTTTACAACACAAGGTCTATGAAAAAAACAAAACCCCACAGACAAAAAAATTATCTTCAAACCTGCAGTGCTTGCTGCAGCTCAAATCCCAACATCCACACCTCCACACAAACCCTTCCCACAACATTTAGGATTAGGGAATGGCTTTTGCAGATGTGCAGCCATTTTCCAGTTGAGGAGCTTGAACACCCTCCTCATTGCCATTTAACACAGTCTCCCATCTTGAGAATTTGGAGTGTATTTTTACCCTTTTAGAAGTAATAAAACCAAAACAATTTCTTGAAATTTGAAGTGATAAACGGGTGAGATAAGCCAAGCCACTACGTCTCCTCTTTGCCTGCCAGCCATGCCAGCTTTGGCAGGAAGCAGGAGCACAAGAGGCTCTCTCTGGTGAGTACCACCCAAAGATGTGAGACCCGGAAGGGAGGCTGTGAAACAGTCAAACCTGTCACCGTACTGAAGGCTGCAAAGGGGCTGTGTCACAATTACCTGTGTGCAGTTAACTGTGGCTTACAGAGACACAAGACAGAAAGTCCTGCTGCTTCCTAGCAGCATTATAAGGCAGCTGAAAGCAGGGATGGCTGACTAGCATAGCTAACAGGAAGAAGGGCTGCTGATGGTACAAGTTGCACTAGCACACTGGCTCAGCTTCAGTCAGGCCCTGGTGCCAGGCAAGACTTCAAATCAAACACTGCTAGTGAAGGTTTCCATGGGAAGGAGAAAAAACTCACTGGCCTCAACAATTTTGCCCCTGAAGGAAAAGAGTATTTAGAAATGTCGACAGTATTGTAAATTGCTTTCCAGGAATTACTTACCATGTTTTATCTTACTGGTTAGCTTTTTCCCCCCCTCTTTTTCCTTTAACTCAAAGCCTGTTTATTGCACCATATTTGTGAGTGGGGAGATTAGCTCATTGAACATCAGAAAGTTTAATATATCCTTCCCAGGAATGCTGGTGGGTGCTTGGTAAGTGTATTCATAACAGTTCCCTTGCATCTAACCCTGTCCTCGCTGCTGCCTATTACACTCAGGCAGAAGGTACAATGCCCAAGGCTCCTACATGTTTTTATAATTTAAAAATGCAAGCCTTGATTATTATTCTGCTACAATAGCTCTGCCAAGATGTTGGAAAAATGTGAAAAACTTCATCTGCTACAAAATACATGAATAGCTTGAGATAAGATAAGCACTGGAATTATCAGCATCTTACAAATATTTAAGGAGATTAGACACTGGGGAAGATGGTTTTTTCAGAGACACAACCATTCCTAATGACAGGACAGACAAAACCATGGGGCAAGATATTTTGAAGGACAGACACCAAGAGAGATGAACAGGACTTCCACCTCCCAGCTCCACGAGCTTATTGATAGCCCTGACTCATTTACAGATGAATGAGACTCTACCATGCCCCCCAACCTGTTCCAAGTTCCAGTGTCTGAATTGCTATTAGATAGGTTCTTGAATCCCATTACTGCTAAAAGAAAAAAAAATTAAAAATAATAATTTTTTTTAAAAATCAAGTTCAGAAGTCTATTCCTAAACACCATTTCCCTTTCTCCCCATCACTTTTTCTCTTCACATTTTTTTTTAAATAAAAAGAATGGAGAAATACAGAAGAAGAGGAAAGAAAAATACCCCATCTAGAAGAATCATGTATTTTTCAAGTAGCCAGTGACACTGAAGGCATGGATTCTTTTCCCTGAATTGAACTGACCAATGGGAATACTTAAATCCATGTCTGTTAATGCATCAAATAAGTGACTGGGCCATCAGACTGACCTAAGAGGAATTAAAGAAGCCTATCCTTCCTTCTCTACACTATTGAGGAAAACTTTCATCAGAAACTTTCTGATCAAGAGGAAATAACTGCAGGGGCCCATTTTCCACCAGGTGAAAGTGCCTCAGCCATTTCACTGAGCACATGAAAGCCCAATTTGGTTACAGAGCTTACTGGGAGAAAAGTTCAGCTTCCCACTCCTAGGCACACAGAGCTGTACCATTTCACACCAGCTGAGGCTATAGCTGTGAGGCAGTTGCTGCTTTGTAACACAAACTAATATCGTTTCAAGCCTTAAAAACTCTAATTGGAACAACACAGTTCTTTTGTGCTGTGCTTGGCTGGGAGAGGAGTCATTTTGGTGCTGTGCCCCAGTGGTACCTGCCAGCAAGGCCAGCACAGCCTTGCTGTGCCTGCTGGGATGATGGCCTGCAAAGGGGCTGTTTTGCTGACACTACTGGTTAAGTCTGACTTTCAGCGAAACCCTCAACACCATTACCTGCAAACTTCAAAATGCTGCATTTATATATTAAAAAAAGAACAAATAGCAAACCCCTGAGCAAACAAGACCTGAAGGAAGATTGCTGTCTGCAAACTGGGGACAAATCTTTAGAAAAAGCATTTACATCCCTGAGACATCCAATATTCAAATAGCTGGGTGAGAAAGTTTAAACTTAGTTTGAAAACAGACTCCATCAGCAGTTTGTTTTACTTGCTTTTGGCCACTTCTCCCAGCATCCCTGCAGCAGCACACACAGCAGCAAAGGCACTGAAGATGCCTCCCTACCTTGTCCACCCACCTGCCGGCCTGTTTTGCTTTTTCCACATATTCAACAAACAGCTGTCACCTCTGAGCTTTTATTGCCTGGTTATTTATTCAGCTGCCATCACTAAATAGCAGTGGGAGGCCTGTGAGTGATTTTAGGAGATCCACAACCTCAGAGAAGCCACCTTGATAGACAGGAGCTTGTTCACTCAGCATCTGGCCTACGCAGTGCTTGACTAAAACAGGAAATTTTGCAACCAACAAAAATGAGGTTTTTTCTTCCCAGAAATCCTCTAAAACCTCAGTCCTATGCTGCTTTTATGAACTGTACCTGTAGTGAAAAGGGACACTTGTCCCATTGCTCCCATTTACTCCCACTGGAGTAAAGTTCCACACCAGGAGCAGATGCATTACTATGCTGTAGTTCCTGAGAGAAATATCTAAAACACTATCTGTATCTGATACTGTCCTTCCTAACTACATAGGAATCCATTCTACTACAAATGTGACTAGATTCATTTCAGTGAGGGGCTAAGAAATGTTTTTTCTGTTTCCTACTTCAGATCCAGGCATCTTTCATGGCCTTTAATGTTTTAGTATGGAACACCTATCCATACTTTATAAGCAAAACTAAAAAATACTTTCAATACAAGACACAGGGACAAAGCGACATCCTGACGAGAGGATAAGTCTGACTGCAGGCAATTTCTTAAATTTCCAGGTACAATCCAGCTCTTTTGAGCACCTCTGGAAATGCACAAAGGCTGCAGGGCATAGTAGAGGTATCCCATCTCTTTATGGTTCATGTAAACTACATGATACTGAAACAGCTAAATAGGGAACAGAATAGATGGGTCCTTAGCCCAACAGATTGTGCTTTTGCCCACTCCCTCCAAGGACACAAGCCCTGCAGCCAGTGACTTTCCCCAGATGGGCTGAGGATAAGAATATGCCTCACATCAAACCCCCATGACCCACATATTTCCTACCAATTAAAATGTAAATAGGAAGATAAAATAAGTAAAGTGACTTTTCATAACCACTCCATTCTTGGCTCAAAGGCCACATTTTTAGCATTGTCTGCAGACACTCACGTCCATCAGCTGCCCGGGCTTCCATGTGCACAAGGTCAGGTTCTTTATCCAAACCGGTCACTGACCTGGGAGGAGGGAGAAAGACAAAGAAGACAGCCAGTTAGCTGAAAGGCTGCAATCAGACGGAGAGATGGTGAGGGAAAACAAAACCAGGCCAAATCTATCTTGTGACACCTGGTATGTAGGTCTTTACCTTCTACCACAGAATCACAGAACGTTCTGGATTGGGAGAGATCCTCAAGGGTCATAAACTCCGACTCTTAAATTAATTGAATCCACAACCTTGGTGTTAATTAGCACCATGCTTTAACCAAGTGAGCTAGTCTCAGGATCACTACTAACTTGTCTCCTCTGTGTTTCTACTCAGACCACTCTCAGGGGCCCTATAACTTCCCAGATGTGGGTGAGTGATCCTGCCTGTCCCTTGTCTACAAGATCAAGACTAGTATTATCCTTCTTGTGGTGAAAAAGAGAACTGGTTCCAAGACCCAGTAAAATCAGATGAGGGCACAGCAGCCTCACTCTTATAGAAAGCAAATTGGAAGGAGGTTTTATTTGACTGAATAGTGACATGAAAGACCAAGTTTCCTGGTTTGCCCCTGGTTTTCTGGGCAAACTTGCTATTGTTCACCTAAGTTTCCCCTTCTTCAAAAGAAAAACAATGATGCACGTATGGTGAATTTCTGATTTAAAAAAGTGAGAAAGTGTTCATTATTCACCACATGATCCCATGCCACAGTCCTTTATAATCATGAAACAAGGCATGATGAGTTTCTTTAATCTCACTAGTTGAAACTCAAGCACCTCAAGTCAAATCCTCCTGTGCATTGTTATTTACTCCCTAAAAATGTTTTTCCAAGCACATTAAAAAGATACTTCTCTTCCTGGCAGAGGAAAAGTCAAGCTCAGAACAGAAATGTTATTATTAGTGTCCTGGCTGATAAGAATCTCTGGGAGATGAACATTTAGTCCTAGCAATGGCTGGCAGGGGAAAAAAAAATCCATAGATGTCCACGTGATTTATGGAGCTGCTTCTCCTGAGTTAACCAAAGGGTTAGATTAAAAAGGGACAACGACAAAGATCAGTTTCTAATTTGGTGGGAGTTGAATTTGATACAGTAGATTGTAAATAATAGATACTCTCCAAGCTAGCCAACATTCAGAATTCCCTAATGTTCTGAAAACATTTTTTATCACAATCTGTTGCTGCTTCCATCCTTGGGGCATCAACACTAAAAAAAAAAAAAAAAAATAAAAAAAAAAAAAATAAACCAAACAAGAAAAAACCCGAACAAAATACAGATGTTCTGATACATTTTTGGATTCTTATAGCAGCTGAAGCAATGACAAACATACAAATGTGCTGGAGTTCAGCTAAGATCAGCCAGTGCTGCAAATGTCGAAATAACTACAGTATGACCCACTGGGTAGGTGACTGAAACTGGCATCACTTGCTAACTAGAGCACCACATCGACAGTGTGTCCATTCACAACAGCCTGAACTGCAGCCAAAAAATACCAACACAATAAAGCAAAGCAGCACAGGCAGATCTTTCATCATTCCACTCCCGGTGAGAAATAGTCTGCTCCTTAATCGCTACCATCAGTTTCAGGGTGATCCCACAAGGAAGAAAGTACTGTCTGTTATCGGTAAGGATGCCAGAATGGGCCTGAGTTCCTGTGGCCATGTAATTATCAGGGTCAAATCTTCCAAAAATCTGGACACAGTTAAAAGTGACAGTAGGAAAAATAAAAATTCCTTTAAATGTCAGTGAAAAACATTATGGTGTGCAGCAACATTATTTCCGAACATATAGAGAAAGGACACACATCTGTGTAGTGCATAGCAGAAGTTTTCTGTCTTTTACAAATGAGTAGCACTAATTGTTGTAATTTCAGTCATTCAGCAACCTTGACCCTTGTCTATGACATGCCAATAGGGACAGAGGTACATGCCTATCATCCTATCTATCCATCACAACTTTATCAAAGGGAGCAGTAATTCCAGCACTTTGAGGTAAATGTTGGGAACACATTAGGCACCTGCCCTGCAGTCCTTCCCAACAGGTTTCCTACTTCAATCCAGTCTTCCCCCTGGGCCTGCACTCCCCAGGTATCCATCCTTCTGGAAGCCAGACACCAGCTTTCTACCCAGAGACATTTGCTGTGTCCTGACACCACAATGCCAGGCATCCCTGACACCTTCTGGGTCCATCCCTTCTAGAGGAAGGGGACACTGTGTCTCCCCCTGCAGCCATGGGCCAAACCTACTCCTGGCCCAGGTAATAAGATACATCAGTCAGCCACAATACTATTCATTTTAAAATGGACTATAATGAGAAGAACCTAAGTATATCCCAACAAAATCCAGAATACTCATTACAATTGTGCATTTGCATACACAAGCTCTGTGGATCTACTCATAATGCCTATTAAGTGTGCACCAGGGAATGAGAGGAGTCTCCTGAAATGTGTCATTCTAGCTTGAAGTTCCTTTGCAGTGCCATCTACTTGTTTCCTTAATTAGTTTTGACAAGCCTAATGATTCTTTTCATTACAACAATGATGACAAAAAAAGGACTAGCACACAGCACACCCCTAGTACTCCTCTGCTCACCAAATACTGCATTTCAAGTAGAAAAGTTCACAAAGTGATCTTCTGCAACCCAAAAGCAAGACAGGCTCTTGTTATCTGCAGACAGATAACAAGTCTGGAAAGTGATGCATTGGTCATCCTTCCTTTGCTCAAACCAAGTCACTCTCATGTAAAAGACTGATTGCAAAACAGATCCCCAATCAATGCTGTTTCTTCATGTCTCACCTCATGTCTGTTTTCATTGGCATAGCTTTGCTTTGCAGTGCTCTGACTCCTCCTGAATTCAAGTATTTTTAGTAAATGATCATTTTTCTGAAGGAGCTTTACATGAAGAATGCAAAAAAGTCGGCAGTGGAAACAGCAAAATGTGAACACAGGTCCTGAAGTACAGCTGCAAAAACACACACACAGACTGTAAAGCTACTCTTTTATCCCATGTTGTAATTTCTCTAGCATTGAGAACTCACTGCAACAACCTCTCAGGTCTGGCAATACAGCAACAAAACAAGAAGAGACACCTTCACAGCCTTATATTTTCTCACACGTTATCTCTCTGAAGAACATTTGGAGGATGCACTGCTCAATACTATTTAAGCAACTAAAGCAAAACAAGGAGAGATGTCAGCATCCCCTGACTTTCCATTTCCCTAGTGTGTCCTCTATAACCAAGTGAAGCCCACACAGTGGGGGGGCTGGAAAGGGATTTCATGGTATTCTGGCTGACAAACAGCTCTGTTCAGAGGCTTACAAAGACAGGAGTATTTAACAACACTCAGAAGCCTAAGGTAAGCCTGAAAACAGTTTTTCTGGCACATGGTCACTCCTCAGGATCCAGGCACAGCTCAGCTCTGTGTTCTCTATGTACATGAACTCCAGACAGCAAAATCTAAACCAAGGTCCACAAAATACACCCATGTGTGCTGCTTTCTTGGGTTGGCGTGGAGAGGAAAAAAGGCTATCCTTCATGTGAGAAATCATGCTAAATCAACATCCTCCACCATCCCTATTCATTAATCACCCCTTGCATGAGAAAATGCTGAGAGGATGCAGGCACAAGTGACAGGAAAGGTCAGTTTTTCCTGCTAACACGTTCCCCAGCTGCTGCAAAAGCAGTTTTTTTAAATGAAGAGCCTGCAGCCAGAATTGCAGTGGGCACAGGATCATTCGCCAGTTAAGAATTCAAATACCTCTGAATTCCATTAGAAGGAAGCAATTGTTACTTTTCCCCCTATCTCCTGCTGCTGCTTTTCTTTTTTATTCTCTTGGTAGCTCTTGATTTTCACAAGATCTTTCCTCCCTTCTTTTCAGAAGAGAATTGTGTGCTCTTGAAAGTTGAAGGATGGACAGGATCCTGGCAAGATCCTTATCTCTATCCTGAGGGAAGATCATTGTGCTTAGATACACATTTACTAGGCTGCTCTGCTAATATTTCATCTCTGACTGGGAAGAAGAGCAAGGAAGATGGGCATTAGGAAAACACAGCACTCTGCACTGTAACTAGCTATTCCTGAAGCATTTTCATGTAAGATGCTATATACTCCAAAATTAAAAATGTTAACACATGCAAAGAAAGGAAAAAAGAAAAACACAGACTTCCTAGGTTACCTGCCTATTGCACACTTCAGCTCACTTTTTCTATTAACTCTATTGCCTTTCTATGGAATAAACAACTTTTGCATTGTTTTCTACCCATTTTCCAGACATCAGGCATTTAATGGCAAAAGGCAGCATTGAGATTTAGCTACTCTGGCATCTTAGGTCAAAAATGCTGAGCAATTCCAACCACCTGCTATTGATCTTTGCTCCCTAAACCATCAATGGAGAATAAGAGATGCTTTATTCCTTCATCTCCTGGACCCAGTAGTTTGGGAGGTGTGAGTGGGTATCACTGATTGTGAGCAATATTTTTGTTAGGGATTTACAACAAGATTAAAAAAAAGTACGTCCCAGGGTTCAGCCTTTTAAACTTGGCCTGGAATCTGCTGGACTGAGCTTTTTGCCAGGGGTGTACCTAGTTTCTTACCAATCAAGGGGGCATTCACCAGCTTTGAAAACAAAATCAAAACTTTTATACCAAATTGAGACTTTCCCAAGATGCTGACTAGAAAACTCATTTTTGCAGGTTAAGATGTCAGACTGAAGGCAATTGCCAATATTCATGTAAACAGACAGAGGAAACAGATGGAGAGTACTTAGCAGGATGTTGTGCAGTAGATAAGGGCTAGAAATGGGAAAGGAACAAGGCACATTTATTGTGCAATAATATCTAAAGGGGGAAAACCTCATCCTCTTGCTGCAGGCAACTGCTGTCAAATTAGTGGATGTTGCCAATTAGTCTGCTGCAATTTTAATTCTACCCTTCTCCAGAAGTGAATAAATACTTCTGTGTTGTACCAGGCAAACAGTGCATGGGACTTTCACCCAAGCAACACAAGGGCAATGCCTATATGGGCTTGTGGGAGCAGAAAG